TATGGGAAGTGCTGAAGGAAAGTCTACTCAGCTAGTCAGAGAGCTCTGGTATTTTGATGGGTCCCAGGAAATGCAGATTGTAAAAGTTCAAGCTAATGAAAAGCCCTAGAAGGGAGATACAGCCTCATGCCTCCAGGGCTTACATTAGTTTTTGACAAGGGTTTTTCTGCTCTTGAGGAGTGGTGCCCCTGTGTATGCCCCAATCATCTTCGCGCACTCCCACATGCCCAACTTGGAAATGTGGTGTTGAAGCAAGAGGAGGCAAGAGAATGTCCCCCACAGCCACTAATGACATTGCTGGACGAGTGGGTCTGGTGAGCAAGAATGGGTGGGTGGGATGTGCTTGAGAGAGGGTGCCAGAGGCTGACACTTAGGGGCAAGGTTGAGGTCTTCCCAGGGCAGACTATCTTACATCTATACTATTTCGGAGGGGGGAATGAGCTACCTCCCTGGGCACACTCAGAAGTACGATACTGGGCCCGGTGGTATTTGGGTTGGATCCAGCTTGGCAAATCTGATGCTTCCTATGCAAAACTCCAAAAGAACAATAAATCCTGAGGGAGGAGAGCATTAAGGAATGACCTGTGTCCCAGAGCAAATGGCTCATGTGTATGGCCAACACTCTCTCCCTGGGAACTGGGGGTTATTGTCAACCTGTGCAACACTTCAAAACTACCAACAGATGTTTAGATGGTTGTAGACATCCCTCCTTTCAGCTCCTGTTGAGTTCAAGGGTTTCTTTGCTGCCTGTCTAGCTAAGGTTTATCAGCAGCCTCCATTATGGTGGTACCTGAATACCTGGCTGTTTTTATCTCCATAACATTGCTGGGCAGCAGGGCAAAGCTGTTAGTGCGGATGTCCCACATGTGACTGGTTTCAAAGTGCTGAGCAGTGAGCAATCATGATTCTTGCTGACATCAGCAGGAGCTGTGAACACCAAACTCCTCTGAAACCTCAGCCTCATGGTGTCTTGGGCTAGGCATGCAAAATTCATGGGCCTTTTACAGATTTCAGGCTGCCTCTCTTTCTGCCCCAGTTCTCCCTCTCTAAGACAGATGGAGGGAAACAAGACAAACAAACCCAGTGTGATTGTGGCATGGAAGATGGTAGCATAAAGCTTAAGCAGGAGGCTGAAGTGGGGGACGGTGTGGGGGGCTGCAGTTTAAACCTGGTGTTTCCTAACTTCTAAACACTTGATTTTGCAGCCTTAATATTGCATGTTGTTTCAGTACGGATGCTAGCTTGTGAGTTCCTGTGGGAGACTGGGATGTAGGGCACTATGTAAATGTAGGATAACATTAAAGGTTTATTACCTCCATGTACTATAAAAAAATCTGTCAGCTGTGGATTCTCATGAAACAATCCTGCAATCCAAAGGCATGAGATTTCCCTCTCTAATGCCTTGTTCTTCTGTATATTCAGCACTTGTTTAGCTGCCAGAGCCTGAAACTTTAATGAACCCTGTATGTCTGCAGTGCAGAGCACCGTTTCCCCAATCTCTGTTGGAGTGAGAGGTTTTGCCTTCCTACCACTATCTCAAGAGTCTTCCTTTCAAATATGCTAAAATAGACTTCTACTAAGAAGTCCCTGGCAAGGAGCAGTCCCACTCTGGTTGACAGGAAAATGGATTAGACATGCCTCCATAGGTGTTTGCTATCTCTAATTATACTCTTGCTTTGTTTCAAATTCTCTTCCATCTGCCCAGCTAATGGGGTCAGATCGTTCCATCTTTCAAGCACAGATCCTCTGTCAGGCGGTACGTGACTGAGATAAGTCCCCCTGAAGCATAATCCACTCAGAGAGAATGATAAATAATTGTAGCATTTATTAACAGCATTCACATGGTAAACATGATAAAGGAAAGGAAATATCAAATGAACACAGGGCAAAAGAGTAGCTGCATGACAAGGGCTGCTAAGAGCTGTGTCTCACTGAAATATGCAATACAGGAATTCTTTTTCCTCAATTTAAAGTTTCAGCCTCCAAAGAGTTAAACCCCTCCATTTCCTCTCAAAGGTGCAGGGGACCCATCCAGAATGCTCCATCATTATGCATTTCCAAGAGCAAGAGGCTGAGTGCCAGGAAATAATCAGAAGTGAAAACCAAAGCACTGAAGCTCCAGGGCCTCCCAGGTGGAAAGGTGAGTGAGTGTCAGCATCTCTGTTCACTTTTAAGGTTTTGCTGGGGAAAGGGGGGATTGTCTCACTAGTGGAGGAAAATGTCACTCCAATGCTTAGTAAGGGGGGATGGGGGGAGAGGGGGGAGGAAAGAGGGAAGAAGGAGTGGAGGGGGGATCGTTGTGTAAAGCTTAGCATCTCCGCCCTTCGGTTAAGATGTGTGAGCTCACAGTGTGCCTTGAGGACCACAAAACTTCCTCCAGGAAAGCAGGCTAGAGCAGAGACTTGACTTTACAGATATTTTAAGGTAAAAAAAAATTAGAATGTTCCTGCTTATGTTTAATGTAATAAATCTCTTCCCATACAAAAAAAGAACAACTTTGGGGTTTTAAATTAATCTTTTCTGGGATGCTTTGAAAGCTGGAGCTAGAGATGAAAAGCCCCAGGGAAGGGCAGGAAAGTGGGCTGGACAACTGTCTGGGCTAAAGTTTCAAAATCCCAAAGATATTCACAAGTAGGCTTAAAACTGCCTTGCTGTTCTTGCAGGCCATTAAAATGGGCTATAAGGTGCTGCAGGGTAGCTGTGGAACTGGCTCCTTCTGGTCTGCTCCTGTTGAAAGTGTTCCCTAAACTCCAGGGCACAGGCCCCTCTGGTCTCTCCAGAGCTGTCATTAAACAGTTAATTGTGGGTCACTGGCCTTTATTCCTGGGGGATCTGGTCCTTTACCTCAGAGAGGCCACAGCATAGCAATGCCTTGCTCCCACCCTACCCTCAGCCACCAGTGCGTGCTTAGCTAAGACACCAGCAAGAAGATAGAGTCCAAGATAGTGGGGCTTAAGAGCTGGTGGATCCCTCATTCTGCGGAAGTTTTCATTTAAGTTTGTTCTGCAGGGAAAGCAAAGGTGACGTTTGGGTTTAGTTCAGCAGTTATTGTGTAACTGAATATTGCATATGAGCTGGAAGGGCAAGAGGGGAAAGAACTTCCCATGCTGCCTGTATCCCACTGCATACAATGCATGGATGGGTCCCAACTGGATGCACTTAAATTTCTGGCCCTTGGCTCAATTCCTTGCTCTGGGGACAAACTCTAGCCTGAGTGAGGGTTGTTGGCCATAGGAGAGAGCCAGCTAAGGGTTGATTGGACAGAGAGAGCATTCTGCTCTTCTTCAGTCGGTCTCCTGCTGTACTCATCAATTAGGTCTCCAAACACCCTTCAGCCAGATAGCAAGCACCGGGATTAACCTTGGTCAGATGGGACTTGTCCTTTGTATTCTCCCTTCCTCAGAGTTTTTTTTTTTTCATAGATTTCATAGACATTAGGACTGGAAGGGACCTCGGAAGATCAGAGTCCATCCCCCTGCCCCAGGGGTAGGAAGTCAGCTAGGGTCAAAGGATCCCAGCAAGATAAGCATCCAAACGTTTCTTAAGAGTCCAGAGTAGGTGCTTCATGTTCAGTGGAAATGAATGGATGTGTTAGGGTTTTGTTTGTGTGTCCAGTCCGCCCTGCTCTGTGTTTATACTGGAGAAGGCAAGGGAAGAGGTGCATCTGGCACATGGAGCAGAAGGTGGGGAGCTTTGCACTGCTTCTGAGGAGGTTACTTCCATTCCCTGAGGGAACTCGGTGGACTGTATGGAAGGCTCTTGGGGATTGCACATGAGGTGTGGAGTTCTTGGCCGCAGTTCTCACCCCACAGCTATAGGCTCTTGGAGATATGCTGGGCCCAAGCCATTGCACACTTGGAAGACAAGGGCACACACTGCATCACAGCACTTCCAGCAAAACCAGAGAAATCAACATCTGGAATTGCTAGTTCTTCAAATGACCTCCCCTGAAGCTAAAAGATGAGGGATATTTTAGGCTCAGTTGTGAGGAGCTGATCTGTGGTTTTGTCCTGTGCTTGGAACATGCCAGGATGGCGCATGGCTTTGGGTAAGAAGATTCTAACTTTCCTCACTGGCTTCCCCAGGAATGGCCCTGAAGTTCTTCCATTATGTTCCAGATAAAAGAGAGAATCCCTTTCTAACTCCATCCCATGCTGGGCAACTTCCCTCAGGGCTTTCAGGGTCCAAGTCTTTCCCCTTGGGGCTCCACCAGCTTTCATGGAGGATTCCTCTACACACCATGAGGACCATGTTTGGTTTATGTTTCCTTTGGCTCTGCTGGCCTTCCCAATGCACCTGTGCTCTTCCAGTTCCTGTGTTACCTGGAAGGGAGTCTCTTGGGGATGAAGGGCTTGTGTGATAGTCACTCAGAAGGGGAACATGGCTGAAGTCTGGCTGCCATATTGTGAGCCATCATGTCTGTGGCTATCATTTCATAAAACAAGATGTCTGCTGAGCCCAATATGGTCAGACCGCTTGGGGTGCTGTCTGAACAAGCTGGGCAGGAGTCCAGATCTGAAGGTAAAAGGCCTGAAGGAAATGCAGCCTTCTGATTCCATCCAGCCGTGACAAGAATCCAAAGCAGGATACGCTGTCTGTGTGGATTTATACCAAGCCTGTCAGCTCCGCCACAGCCTGGTGCTATGTGATATGAACCTGCAGAGACAGCCAAAGACTGGTTCTTAGCTAAGAGCACGGGCTGTGCTCTCCTGACATGATCAGATCTAAGCCTGCATCACAAAGGCTTGCCAAACAGTGGCCACTACCTCTACAGGGCACTTCCCTGATAGCAACAGAGCAGAACACACACCTGAGCTGTGTCCTGGTGCTAGAGGACAGATGATGCTTCTCATGCAGAGCAAGTGTTGGAGCTCAGGGACTGATGCTGCTGAGACTAAGCCAGAGCTGCCTGTAAGAGGAGGAGACCTGTGCTCTCTGTCCTGGAACTAAAGGCAGATCCATAGCTGTTCCCCCTCTCTTCCCTCCCCCTCCCCCCCCC